AGTCCTCTATTTGTATATTATGACCAATATCTTTAGCCCAATGAATCATAACTGCTTAAACTTCCTCATCTTTCAAATGCCATTCCAATAGTAATTTATACATTTTAGATAATATTTTATATCTGTTATTTAATAACTCCAATTCAAATCTTGATTTTGTATATCCAAATCCATTTTTGTTTTTATCTTCTTTAAACATTTCATTATCTTGACGATAATGCAACCAATCATTCACCATACATTTTACATCTTCATAAGGCTTTAACTTCCATTCGTTCTCCATCTCTATTACTAATTGTTCAAAGGTGGCCCAATTTTTACTCATATTTGTCTTTTTTACACTCATTGCCTCAAGCAGCGAGAGCCACCATGGTGTCTTACATTCTAACAGATTTGTATATCTATCCCACACCTCATACAATAACTTTCAAAGTATGTGGTTTCCAAATCCTTTATGAACTTTTACTTTGCCATACCATAGATATACGTGCCATCCGAATCTGTTGTCAAATCCTTTTAAGTCTAAAAGATTAGTATTCTCCAACAATATCCAGTCCCTTAACTAACAAAGGCATGATGCTTCATAATACAATTTCAAATCTAGTAGGGAGAAGCCTCCTCTTTCTTTTATATCTGTTAACAATTTAAATTTAGTTCTTGGCTTCTTCCCTTGCCAGATAAATCTTGAAATTGCTTTTTGCCACTCTCTAAAGATACCAACTCCGTTAATTATTGGGATTGATTGAAATAAAAACAACATTTTCGGTAGCACACTCATTTTAACAACTGAAATCCTACTCATTAAGGATAGTATATTTTTTGATGTTAACCAGATTCCTAGATATTTAACTTTTTTAACAACCTCTATTCCACTCTGATGCTGCAATGTATCAATCAAATCTCGGTTCCTATTTTTCACTAACTTTTTTTTCTTATTTAATTTGAAACCTGCTACTTGTCCGAATTGTTCTATTCTTTCTAGTGCTTTTCTAGCACTAGTTAATGGTTCTTCCACTGTTGTAATTAAGTCATCTGCAAAGGTCTTTAACTTATATTGCTGTTATAAGAATTTTAAGGTCTCAAATACAGAATAAATATTCATAAATGCACGCATATCTCAATATATGAACCATGTGTCTGAAACAGTATGGGAGAGCAATCCTGAAGCCATTTTGACTTTCCCAATGATTTCAATTATTCCTCTGCAGTCAGGGAGGCAAATGGGGAAAGCCTTCCCCTTGTCATTTTGCTTACAAATCCTGTCATAAGGGCGTATTTGCGTATGAATAGGGTGAGGCTGTGACCTGGATTCAAAAACTAAAGTATTAACCATCACAAAAGAATGGCCAGACTGCCCAGGTAATGCAACCAGTGACCGTTATCAGGTATCCTGGCAGGCAGGATTTCTGCTGTAGACTGCCTCCTATGCTGTAGACTGCTTCCTTCTGTGATGTATGTATGATTTTTTTGGGGGGGGGGTCTTGGGCTACAGGGTGGGCAATTTCAAAAGTCTTTATAAGGGCTTGCACACCATTGTTCAGGGTTCTCCTCCCTCCTGCAGTTGGTGAGTGGGGACCCTGCTGCAACATTTCCTTGAATAAAGAACAGGCTTACTAGCTGCTTTGCTTCTCAAAATACTCTGGCTGGCCTCTGTTTCCTCCTACCGATAGAGAACCCACTTTATATGGGCTCCAGAATATCCCATAAGGGAAAGGGAGCAGTTTTTCTTATAACAGCAGGTCTGCATATAAGACTTGTCTTCCTGTATAAACTGTGTGTAAACAAAGATTGAGGTTCTAGTCTCTGATGGGTTTTCCTTCATTTCTTGCTGTAACTTCTCCTGCTTGAGCAAAAAATAAAACTTTGCTTGTTAGAGAATTCTTGGGTGTATCTCATTGTTGCTGGTAAATAAAGTGACTCAGCTGTGCAATAGACCTCAAGTGGGGTTTCCCCAACATCACCTTCAAAACTGTATCTGTGGTTGCAATTATCACTAGCAAAAAACCCAAAAAAACCTCTGCTGCCAGGATGGAGGGATGCTGCCTTGTCTAAGCTCTGATGTGCATTGCCATTCAAAAAAACACAAATAGAGCCCAAATTAGCAGGAGATCCTCTCCTAATCATTAACTCCATTGATGAAACATCAATGGAACATCCTTGACAACTGAGCTGCAATCTGTCTAACAAAAGACTTGTCAGCCAGCATCCTAGTATTCTCCTGCCCAACACACACACACACACACACACACACACACACACCGGTCTATGGTGAGTCTGAATTTCAAAATTACAAAAGAAGTAAGATTAAATTGACAAGCATCTTGAAATTGACAATTTGAACGCCATAAAAAAAATTTTAAGCCCACAGCAGGGATGGGGTATTTGTGTCCCTTCAGATGTTAAAAGGTAAAGGTAAAGGGACCCCTAACCATTAGGTTCAGTCGTGACCGATTCTGGGGTTGCGGCGCTCATCTCGTTTTATTGGCCGAGGGAGCTGGCGTACAGCTTCCGGGTCATGTGGCCAGCATGACTAAGCCGCTTCTGGCGAACCAGAGCAGCGCACGGAAACGCCGTTTACCTTCCTGCTGGAAGGTATTTATCTGCTTGCACTTTGAAGTGCTTTCGAACTGCTAGGTTGGCAGGAGCTGGGACCAAGCAACGGGAACTCACCCCGTGGCGGGGATTTGAACTGCCAACCTTCTGATCAGCAAGTCCTAGGCTCTGTGGTTTAACCCACAGCGCCACCCACGTTCCTCCAGATGTTGCTGGACTACAAATCCAATCATGGGGTTAGGGTCCAACAAAATCAAGAGTTCTCTTTTTAAAAAAAAATAAAATAAAATAAACTTTATTAAGGTTTATAGAGAAAAATACAAAGCTTAATATGTTTCCCCTTTTTAAAAACCCAATTCTCCATTCCTGCTCTATAGTTATTTCCAAAAACTGCAAGACAGAAACCATTGTAGAACAGTTAGCAAATGGGCAATGGTGAGAGGTGAGGGTAGCCAGCGGGTCTCTAATCCTCAGTGAGTTAGGGACTTCCTCTGCATATAAAGACAGGCTCTGGTGAATTGAGTGGATGAGACCCCTAGTGGGTCCAGCAGTGAGGAAGGCAGTTTTTGCACATGCTGTAGCATAAAGGGAAGTGATGGAGTTCGTCAACCTGGGAAGGTAGCTCATCTAGGAGAAGGAAAACTCTGATCCTAAACCTCTGCTGCCTTATGGGATATCTTCAGAAGAAAAGGCTAAACCCTACCCCAATCTGGAGTGGAGTCCCTAAGGTCGTTGGATGGCACCTTTTACGCCTCCTTCTAGTAACTCCTATAGCCATGCTGGTGCCAAAAGAATTGCTCTGCTTTCCTTTGGGCCATGTTAGCGGGGCTGAAGGTGGGTGGGGGGCTGTCTTGTCGTTTGGGCAGCCCAGGACCTCCATACATGCTGCCCAGACTTGCGCCCAAAGGAAGTCACTTCCCTTGCTGCTAATGGAGCAGTTTGACTTCACCTCCGGAGGTACACTCCATTGCCTCTCAAGACAACTGGATGCCAGGGACAAAAATGGTGAGAGGTGTGATTCCACATTACCAGCACGTGAGAGCCAGTGTGGTGTAGTGGTTAAGAGCAGTAGACTCGTAATCTGGGGAACTGGGTTCGTGTCTCCGCTCCTCCACATGCAGCTGCTGGGTGACCTTGGGCTAGTCACACTTCTCTGAAGTCTCTCAGCCCCACTCAGCTCACAGAGTGTATGTTGTGGGTGAGGAAGGGAAAGGAGAATGTTGGCCTCTTTGAGACTGCTTAGGGTAGTGATAAAGTGGGATATCAAATCCAAACTCCTCCTCCTCCTCCTCTTCTTCTTCTTTTTCTTCTTCAGCAGCTACATACTGTATAAGGGGCCTTGGAGGTCATGCAGCCCCACTGTCTTGCGCAATGCAGGATTTGCAATAGAGGATGAAACAACAGCATTTTGGCTAATGGCTAAACAGTCTCTGCTTATGGCCCCATCCTGGGAACTGTGGTTTGCACAGGGCAGTGCTTTCAGGACCAGTGTTGCAACATCCCACTGGGCTGCCCCTTTACCAACCTGTTGTTGTTGTTGTTGTTGTTGTTGTTGTTGCTGTTTAGTCATTTAGTCATGTCCGACTCTTCATGACCCTCTGGACCAGAGCATGCCAGGCACTCCTGTCTTCCACTGCCTCCCGCAGTTTGGTCAAACTCATGCTGGTAGGTTCGAGAACACTGTCCAACCATCTGTCGTCCCCTTCTCCTTGTGCCCTCAATCTTTCCCACCATCAGGGTCTTTTCCAGGGAGTCTTCTCTTCTCATGAGGTGGCCAAAGTATTGGAGCGTCAGCTTTAGGATCTGTCCTTCCGGTGAGCACTCAGGGCTGATTTCCTTAAGAATGGGTAGGACTGATCTTCTTGCAGTCTCCTCCAGCACCCTAATTCAAAAGCATCAATTCTTTGGGATCAGCCTTCTTTATGGTCCAGCTCTCACTTCCATACACCACTACTGGGAAAACCATAGCTTTAACTGTTGGCTTTTTGCAGTATGGTAGCACTGCAGAGAGCTTGCTGGGGAGACCATGCATTAAAAAGGGACTCAAAAATAACTTAAACAAGGTTTTAATAAGAAAAACAAAAACTCCTTTTACACTAAATACATTAACAAACAAACATGCACCAACCCATCCCCCATGGTAATGGGAGAGCTAGGTGCTGCTCCTTATATACTACACCCAATTGCCAACACAGCTTAATCAATACAACTCAGCAGCACCTGCTATGTTTCACAGCTGTAAAGCTGGGTCTCGTTATCTTGCTCTAGCCCTTGCTCTGGCCCCTTAAAGACATACACATGGAGTGGAACAATGATGAACCTTTACATTTAAAGTAACCATTCAACATTAACTATGCAGACCTTTGTCAGCAAGGTACCAGCCTAGCACAAGCCAATCACAGAGTCATAGTCATCTAATCCAACCCCCTGCAATGCAGGAATGTTCAGCTATCCCACAGGGGGCTCGAACCTGCAGCCTTGGCATTCTCAGCACCACACTCTAACCGACTGATCTGCCCAGGTTGGATAATAATGTTTACTTACCTTGCAAGGCTGTTCTAACTCAAGAAACACATTGTCATGGGGATAATGTCACGGGGATGTCTGGTTTAATTGTTATTCAGCCACGAAACTGTCAGGTATTTGAAGACATTTACATATTGGGGAAGGAGTTGTGCAATTACTTTACTACCTTCGTGGCTGCCACTTAAAAGTTTCTTTCCCCACTGCGTTGCACATGAAGAGATGCCTGAAGTGTACATCTGCACAGTGCTCCAGGCTTTGTAACAGATCTCCTTTGTCAGGCGCCTGTTGGCATGCTGGTTTATTGACACCCGGTCTGGGATTCAGTCATATTCATTTTGGGACGCGATAAGAAGTCATTGTGCAGACATTCTTCTTGGATAATAATGAATCTATGTGTGGCAGGGTTGCTAAGTAATGTGCTGCCTAATAAGGCACATACAATTTTCTGAAGTCGCAAGGGAGAGGGAAGCTTACACGGCGAATCCCTTGAGGCAGGCGCTCTAATCAATGAGCGGCATCTGAATGGGGAGCCTGAAAGATCCAGGCTGAAGGGAACTTGCTGGCTGACAAGCTGACAGCCTGTACAAGTCGATGTTTTGCAATGACCTTGCAGTCTGCTGCTTGATCCTTAGCAAATGTATTGGTGTAAGCACTTTAGAAAGTTATTTTTCAAGAGTTCGGGAGAAGTACCCAGTGGAAATCTGATCTGAATTTTCAAGGACATGCGCAGACTGCTCCAACCAGGCTCACAACCTCATTATACATTTAACGCACATGGCCTTCCCTAAAGAATTAAGGGAACTGTACCTATACCCTGCACAGAGCTACAATTCCCAGCACCTGTAACAAATGACAGTTCCCAGAATTCTTTGGGGGAGCCATGTGCTTTAAATGGGTTTGTTGCACATATCCCAGTCTCTGAGTGGTGAGACTTCAAGGATTCCAGCTCATACCTGATGATGATGATGATGATGATACTGCTGCTACCAATATCACTACTACTAATGTAATACTTATACCCTGCCCATCTGGCTGGGTTGCCCCAGCAACTCTGGATGGCTTTCCAGCATAATTAAAGCACAGCAAAAATGGCAAACATTAAAAACCTCCCAATATAGGGCTGCCTTCCGATGTCTTTGGAAAGTTGTGTAGTTGCTTCCTTGGAATGAATGCTGTATCTTAAGGAGATATGGTTTTATTTACATATATACAATCTGAGCACAAGGTAGAAGGGATCACAGCATTGACACTCCAACAGATCTTGCAGATCGTCCAACTTTTTTCAGGTCAAAAACTGGGATGCGCATCTTCTGGGACATGCTCCCGGGCGAGTCATGTGACCTGCACTCTTGCCCTGAAAAGGGCGCTTTTTGAGGGCACTGCATGAGATCACAGCCCTGAAAAGTGCTTTTTGGGAGGCAAGAGTGCGGTGAGAGAGAGACCGCAAGATCACCGCACCCCAAACTGCCGCCGCAATCTCATGCACCCAAACGGGATGTCCCAATTTTTCCGGCACAGAAAAATGGCAGGTCTGGATCTTGCATCCACATTAGCTTCCCAGGGAAACCCACAAGTGATCGCTTTGTGCCCAACACAGAGCATTTATATACCATCTTTCTATCTTACAATTCTCAAGGCGGTTTACAAGCTGAAGAAACAAAAAATGTACATCTTATAGCAATCTAATGCAATACAAAAATGTGATAATAAAACAAAACTTTAAAATAAGCAACCTACATCAAAAAGCAACATTCAACAATTATTAGAGTAGTATAAAATAATATCAACATATAAAAATTAAACAGAAATCCACTCAAGTTACAAAAAATTATTTCTAAACTATAATCAATAAAACAATGGCAAGCCACAGTATGTAAAATAATACAATACAAACTGAGAAGCAGAGACTAGAGGGTGAAGCAAGGCAGGTGGAAAGAGGCCTTGCCTGATGGAATCTTCCTAAAACTGTCATTGCTAGCAGTGGTGACTACCCCTTGGTACCCAGATGTAAAGGGGAAAGAAATTCATGATGTGCTAATGTTAAATTTTGGAGAGAAAGGGAGGGGCAGGGGAAAACCACATGAGGAGGCTATTTTGGATGTCGCCAAAAACTGACATAGTGTAACTACTGGCCACATCTAAATTCATTTCCAATCAAGCCTGGTATGCATGGCAAATTCTTCTACCTATGGAAGAGAAGGCATTTTGCTTTCACATTTCAGCATACTCATTTTAATAGCACAAATTCAAAAATTTTTTTAGCCATGTTAGCTTCTGTGCACAGAGCCCATCTTTCTAACACTTTTCTAAATGTTGTGCCTTCGTTGGCACTTTTTTTTTTGCAACGGATAAGAAATTTAAGAAGATGCTCTGCTGTCTGAACGGCTTCCAAGCCGTGAGTGATAGCCAATGCAGCATAATGCAGCGAAGTACAGCAAAGACTTAGGAAGCCTTGGCTTCTGCAAACCTAATTCTGGAGAGAAAAAACTGGAACGAATTAGAAACATGTTGGCAGCAAGAACTAGGAGAAAGTCGTCTTCCAAGGTTGTCCGTGGAAATATGTGCAGGCTAAGCTGCCTTCCTCCTGGCCATTTGGCAACCCTGATCCCAAAAGATGCCCCAGCAGGTACTTGGCTGAGTTCCTGCAGCCACAGGTGAGGAGGGAGCCACAGGTGGTCCCAAACTTTGGCAGGCCCATTGATTCTTAAGAACATAAGAAGCACCCTGCTGGATCAGGCCAGTGGCTCAACTGGTCCAGCATCCTGTTGTCACAATGGCCAACCATTGGAAAACCCACAAGCAAGGTTTGAGGGCAAGAGCACTCTCTTCTCCTGCAGTTTCCAGCATACGGTATTCGGAGGACTGCTGCCTCCGCTGTGGTAGAGCATAGCCATCCTATCTAGTAGCCATGGGTAGCCCTCTACTCCATGAATTTGTCTAATACTCTTTTAAAGCCGCTGTGGGTTAAACCACAGAGCCTAGGACTTGCGTGGCAAGTCCCCCTCTCCGCTTAGGAAATAAAGACACAGGACACGGTATTTAAGGTTAATGGGCGAAAACAGCCACAACTTTATTGATTGCAGGAATTGAGCGGTATTGGCTTAGGCATTGGTCCTATCAGCTAACCGGCTTCAGCCCGATTGCGTGAAGACCAGTAAGGGTTAACCACCAGTAGGGGGAGTCCTGCTGATGTACATCAACTAGGAGCTCCCCCGGGGTCACCGCTCGGAGCGTGCCTTAGGACCACACCTCCATAGGCTTCGGAGAGGGCAACGCCCCCCGGAATCCTTTACCGGACTACCCTTTGCTTTGGGGGAAGGTGATGGCACTTCCTTCTCCCCTCATTTGCATAACAATACCCCTACCAATGCCTAACCACCAATGCGGAGAAGTTGTGACGATTTGCTACGAGGTAGGCAAAAAACCAAATGGCAGGTGCCAATACGCCAAGTGGAAAAAATTCCTACCAGGCCCCTTGACGGAGTCCATAGCAAGGTCAGAGCAGTAAACTAAAGGGCGGGCAGTGTGGGAAACCTGATCAGCTGGAGAGGCGAAGAGAGGGCGGTCCTCGGGCGCGCCGGGCATAAATAGCCCAGGCCACGGCTCCCTGACCAGCCGACTGGCTAAGCAGGGAGATGACGCGCCCGAGGATTCCCTCATTCTTGTGGGGGCTGTGAGTCAGCCCCCGCGTGCGTGGGGAGGGAGTGGGCCCGCAACCCCACCTCCTCTCCAGTTTGGAAGTGGCTTTGCCGATCAGAAGGTCGGCAGTTCGAATACCCACAACAGGGTGAGCTCCCGTTGCTCGGTCCCTGCTCCTGCCAACCTAGCAGTTCGAAAGCACGTCAAAGTGCAAGTAGATAAATAGGTACCACTTCGGCAGGAAGGTAAACGGCGTTTCCGTGTGCTGCTCTGGTTCGCCAGAAATGGCTTAGTCATGCTGGCCACATGACCCGGAAGATGTACGCCAGCTCCCTCGGTCAATAAAGCAATATGAGCGCCGCAACCCCAGAGTCGGCCACGACCGGACCTAATAGTCAGGGGTCCCTTTACCTTTAAGTTGATGGCAGACACTACCTGCTGTGGGAGCAAGTTCCATAGTTTAATCATGGGCTGCATGAAGGACTTTCTTTTATCAGCCATAAATTCCTTTATGATTGCTTGAGAAGTCAGAAATACCTCCTCAAAGTCTTCTCTCTCTTCTCCCTCTGACCCCTCATCGTCATCCCACCACCAACCCCCTGGCTCTGAGCTTTCTTTCCTTGGTGGTTCTCCAGCTGGTTCCCCACCACCACCATTCCTCTGTGTCGAACCATCTGCTCATCATTCATGTGGTACCCAGGCAGTCACATTGGACGGGGAGACCACAAAAGGTCTTAGTAAATATCCCCTCAAAAATCTGCAATGAACAAGAGACTATTTGTTCACACTGGCTCAGCCTCTCTGAAATATACTCAGAGTCGCAAAGTGATTTCATGCTCTTTATTCAGCTCATAGTGGTGAGGAGGAATGAATGAAAGTCCCCTCAAAGTATCTGCTTTATATTCATTATTTACACAATGGTCTGCACATGATTGGCTAATTCCGGAATTCTACTGTAAGCCAATCAGGTTGTGGATTCACTTCTATCTGGAGCATGATTGGGTGGTTCCTGCCAACCAATCAGACTGCTGCATTCTGAATCCTATTGTTCTAGGACCAATCAGACTGCTGCATTTGGGATCCTATTGTTCTAGGACCAATCAGACTGCTGCGGTTTGGATCCTATTCAACTCAGTACATAACACTCTCCTACCACTGAACACGCCCCCTTCAACTTTCTCACATTTCATTGGATGGCAGCACTGGACACCCACCCCACTGATCCCACCCCACTTTGTAGTCCTCACTCTTTTTCTGCTTTTAGGTGTGGCAGGCATTTTGCATTCCCTGCAGCAGCCATTTTGTGTTAAGCCACACCCCCATGGCATTTCTTTTGTGGCTGGAGCCCACA